ATTATGTTTGATCATTAAGATACAACTTTCAGTGTTGTGATGTACTATAAAATGTCCATATAACTGTACTTTTCCATTATCACTAATCTTATATCATTGTCACTATCCAGCAAGATCACCACTGTCACAAAGGTATTACTGTTAGTAGAGGTTGTAGTACTAATTTGTATATTGTGGCACATATCTTCATTACGGTGACTGGTAGAATTTCTCAACAATTCAACAAGTCAATCCAGTATTCCATCCAAAAGGTTCTATGGCATCATTCTCATTTAAGTATATAGAAATAAGTAAATACAAAACACAACAAAGTTACATAACAAATTCACAATAAAACCTAAGCCACCTAACCCAACCACAATAATTTAACAATAACACTAAACAACAGTTACAGTACTTATAACTAGGGATGGGTATCGTTTGTGTTTTTTTGATACCGGTGCCAAATCGATACTTTTAAAACGGTACCAGTGCCTAAACGGTGTCTGAACCGAAACTTTTAAAAAAAGAGCCACCAAACGACGGTGGATGACATTAAAGGGGTCATGAGCTGCCTCTGCTTTTTATTTTGTCCTGTTCTCTGAGGTCCACTTATAATGTTATCAAGATTTTTACATAAAAAAACATTATAATTTTGAAGCAATATGCTATTTTCTATCCTGTTTTTGACCCCCCTCATCAGAACGCTGTGTTTGAATAGGCGTGGCAGATTGTAGACTCGGAAGTAAACACGCACTGCTATGATTGGCTTGTGTATTACTGACATTCTACGTCCTTCATAGATGGACGCATCTGTGATTTAGGTTAAAAATGCATAAATACTCAGTACATATCAAACGATCTGTTTTACAGACAAAGCAATAGTGATCACGTAATGAAAACAGTTACTCGTGCGTAGCGACATGACAGTCGGATGATCCAATATAGTCGCACAGCATTGTCTTTTAGTTTTAATCTTTTTGAAAATCCCGTGTCGAAGTGTGCCTTGTTTGTAAAAGAATCCAGCTTGTTACAGCCTGTACAAAAAGTGGTTTTGGTCTATATAGCTCATTTTGCCCTTCATGACAACTGTGAGAGTGGTGAATTTTTTTTATAAGTCATCCGTTTAAATTATATTAAGCCTTAAAGTTCTGCATAATTAAGGGCGTGGCCAATTGAGTGACAGGTGGATTGCCGCTGCTGTCACCGCCGTCAAGCTAGGTGGGCGTGGTTTCAGCAACCAGCTCCCGCCTCTTTGTCCATTTTTGATTATCCGGGAGTGACGCGCTGCCAAGATGGCGATGGCCGGCTCCGCCCACTTTGAGCTTCAAAAACACTCTTCAGGAACCTACTGGTGACGTCACGGACACTACATCCATGTTTTTATACAGTCTATGGTCTCGCATCACTCTCGTCACGTGACCAACCCCCTCAGCCCCCCTGCCCAAAATACGTTCTTGCGGCCATGATCACACCCAACGACACCAATTGTACTATAGTACCAAAGAACAATAACCAGGTCTGGAAATGGGGGTGGGGGACGGAATCCAGGGAGTGAATTTTGAGGGGGGACGGCATTTCACTTCCAACTGGTAAGGGTTTTTTTGGAAATTAAAGTGATTTCTATATTTTATCCATTCAAAAGACTACGAAAGCGATCACAGTTCTGCACATAAACGTAGAGCAATGTAGACTAAAAACACAGCGGGATATGTGTGTCTATGGTTTGCTGCCCAATATCGTCTTATGCCATAATACCTGCAGACTGCAGCCAAAAGAAATGTAAGCATAGAGTCCTTAAGAATGTAATGTTACTTTTTAAAAACTAATTGCAAATGTTTTTGCAAAGTGTAAACTATTAAATATACTTTACAAATCATGCAATACTGTACCACTAAATAAGAAGTGTTTTGAGGGCCAATGAGAGACAATAACTAATCATTCTAAAAGGTTGGGAGTGTTACTAGACAGTCATAGTTTGGCTGACTGGACGAGACATCTGTCAATCAAGGTATACAGGCAGAACCAGCCGAATAACAGTAGAGTCGTGGTAGAAAGTTCAGAGGTCGTATTAAAGTAGCTCAGTTTAAATGTATTGTATGAATTGCCCTTACTCTGGAATAAAACATACGGAGTGTCTATTTACATTTAGTGCAAATAGCCTGCTCTTTGACGCGATCGACCGGGGTTCGATCCCGCCTTTTGTCAAACTTTTTTTTCTCCCTTTTCAAATCTCGTATCACATCATAAAGGCATTTATTTTCAATAAAAATTAAGGAAATAATCAAAAAGTTGAAAATAAAGTATCGGGTAGGGTTAGGGTAGGTGTAGGGAGGGCTTTATTGTACCGATAACGTGGCATCCATTTAATAATTTGAATTAAAATGATAATTTACACTCAATACGTTATTATTGCATACTGTTTTATAATGTACAACAATACTGAAATGCAGATAATTGCCACTATTTGCAACATGTAGTATACATAGCAGAAAATCCTGCCATTTTAACAGTGTAAATAGGTAAAGGGAGAAAAAAAAATTTCGGCAAAAGGCGGGATCGATCGCGTCAAAGTGCTCAAGATACGAGCTTAACCATCTGCGCCACTGGAGCTAATTAGCCTTTGCCAACAAGGCGGGCTATTTGCACTAAGTGTAAATAGACACTCCATATTTTTTTTCCATAGTAAGAGCAATTCATACAATACATTTAAACTGAGCTACTTTAATACGACCTCTGAACTTTCTACCACGACTCTACTGTTATTCGGCTGGTTCTGCCTGTATACCTTGATTGACAGATGTCTCGTCCAGTCAGCGGTGAGTAATCCCAAACCAATGAGAAGGGTATAACTGCAGCCTCGAGATCTCCAAATGGGGGCGGGAACTCCAAAACGGGGTGGGAGCTCCAAAATAGGGCGTGGCTTCCTCCCATTGACAGACAGGCACATGACACACATGCGCACTTTCCCCCCCAATCCACTTCAGTGCAAACTCTGCCCCAAAGCTGATTCTAAAGATTTTATTGGTTGTGTCAATTAAAGTGTTGATTTCCTACACTATGCTACAAAAAATGCTAACCCCTAAAACCTGCCCTACACCTGACCCTAACCTTAACCAGTGAAATTGACTGAACGGCGGGATTGGCGCTGAATATCGTGGTAAAGAAAGATGCAGTTCAGGAGATAAACGGTTAATATGATTATGCGATATGAGATCGTTCCGTAACTCCCCAACCGGACCTCACCGGAGAATGGCACCTTTTTAGTTACACCCAGTGTCACTACCCCCTCCTACCCTGCGAATTTCGAGCCCCGGGACCCCCCGCCCCCCCGCAGCTTAGAACAAAGCGATAGAGTAAAATCTTTCCCCTGCGCTGCGCTGGGACGGCTCGCGGGAGACCTTGTGGGTGATTCCCGTTTATATCATGAAGCAGAGGTTCAAACTCCAGTCCGAACACCACTGGCTACGAGCTTTGGGCTCTGCTCTCACGGAGAATATTTACTTATATAGCATATTTTATTTTAGATGAACTAGAAACAATGTTTAATTTTAAAAAATGTTTTTGTTTTATTTTGTTTATTTTTGTTTTGTAACAAGTTTACAAATGTAATAAAGTTTATTTTCGTGCGCTCAAAATACTTTCTTCTTTGCGAGACAAACATTCTCCACAAAACTCAGTTTGCGCGCGTGCAAAACACACTTTTGTGCGCTCAAAATATGATCTTTCGCGCGCATAATTGTGGCAGAGATGTAATCCCATAGGATTGTAGGTGGGGGGAGTGAATGTACAGCGCTCTCGTCCACCTTCAATACCACGACTGAGGTACCCTTGAGCAAGGCACCGAACCCCAACTGCTCCCTGGGCTCCGCAGCATAAATGGCTCCGGGTGTGTGTTCACGGCGTGTGTGTGTTCACTGCTATGTGTGTGTGCACTAAGGATGGGTTAAATGCAGAGCACTAATTCCTAGTATGGGTAACCACACTTGGTCACATGTCACTTCACTCAGTAACAATTGGCTGGACCCAGAGCCAATGGTGAAAGTCTTTGCGCGAGGAGACCCCGTCCCATTTTGGAGGTTCTGCCCACTTTTGGAGTTCACGCCCCATTTTAGAGATCTCCGGTCTGCAGTTATATCTACTTGGAATATCTAGCGACTATCAAACCTAAAACTAACTTTACCGCGCTATTCAAGCGGTTTATATTTTTACCTGTACGAGAGAAGAACGATGTGAAACACCTGCTCAGGTGAAGCAGTTTTCTTAATTTCTGAACATGTTCACATCTAATCCAAATACAAACACAAATACTTTTCCTGTGCTACAACGTTTTGAAATACATGAACACTAACATTACATCTTCCGTTTACAGAAAATGTCAACAAGCTCTGCAGTACAGTGTTATGTATGAAAATGAGAATGAAATCATAAGCCAACACCAATGTTCCTCATAAGTTGTATGCTTCTCTCAAGTTTTAAAGAATCAATTATTCAGATATTGAATAATTATCTGACTTAGGTTTGTTTGTCATAGTGAATGTTAAAGTCACCAAGGATTTCCAGCTGTGTTTCAACCTCTGGGAAAGAAGACAGCAGCATGTCTTGACTGGAGGACTGAAAGTGTCAAGATTAATTGTGGCAGGATCTGTAACAGTTATGGCATGATATTCAAAGAAAGAGTAAGAGCAGAGAGAAGAGAAGGTCTTTATCAATTAAACCTTTTTGAATCATCTGTATTCATATATTTATAATCTAAATAGATTAACACAGATATTGAACTGTAACATTACCAATAATTCAACACATAATGAATAAATATACATTTCTATGTAGTTATTTCAACTGCAACATTGATTTGTAAATATTCACAATACATACTTGACATATTACTAACAGCACTGATTCATACTGAGTGATAAACACATTAAAAATAGTTAGAAATTTTAATTTTATTGATTTAATAATTAATGATAGTTAATGATAAAGTTGCTAAATGACTGCAAGTATTTGGGAACAACAGACTAAAATACATAATTTGAGGATAAATTATCAGCCCATAATAATGTTGAGCTCAAGACACAAGCTGATCATTGAATGTATTCAGGTTTTACAACTAGGAGAGATTCTCAACTCTCCTGATCATCGAGTCTCTACAAAGACTAAATCTGACATGAGTTTGATCCACATCTTCAGCTCTACTGAACAATCAGTCTGACTGTGATTTTAAGACAGACAGTTTAGAATGAGTGATCAGGAAGAGATGTCAACCTTCAACATGGAGCATAAAATGAGCTCCACAGCCTTTAACATTTATGATGAAGTGTGTTTAGAAGATGAGCTCTGACCGACACTCAGTTACCAAAGTAACAGAGCAAGCGGTTGCTAAGAACTGTTTCCTGTGAGTGAGAAACTAAATCTTCCTCCAGGTAGCGCTCAGAGATTCAGAAAGACAAACCTTATAAAAACACAAAACAAGTCTGTGGTGTCTCATTCAGACTGAAGTCAACGTGTTTTTATATACACACACACACTGAAATTAAGATTAGAAGAGAGAAAGAGTTTACAGTTGTTGAGTTCAAGAGAGATAATGTGAATGAGATTCTTTCACTTAACTGTGTGTCTCACTTGCTTCTCATGAAAGGCTGTTTAATCTCACACAGAGACACTGAACTACCAGAATAAACCCCAAAACCAGCACAGAGGGGTTCAGTGAATGTGCTGTCGAATGTGTGTAAGTGTGTGAGTGTGTGTGTGTCAGAGATGCTGTAAAAGGACAGCGTGCCGGCCGACCAGTTCAGATACACTCCTACTTTCTTAGGGCGATGTGAAGGGACAGATATTTCTGTGATCTTATTACTGTGTCTCACAAAGAAACTGTTATTAAAACTGTTCAAACTCCAGGACTTTTCATTGTATCCAAGCAAACAGTCATCACTCTCTCCTTTCCTGCTGATTCCTTTACATGTCACTGATATATAAACGTTCCCACTCCATTCAGCCTCCCAGTAACAGCGTCCAGACAGAGTCTTTCCACATAGAACTTGATAACACTCATCAAATCTGTCTGGATGATCAGTATACGGCTGCTTCTCTCTCATATGTGTCACTTTTCTGTTCCTCTCAGACAGAGACAGATAAGTGTTTGCTGTGTTTAAATCCAGTGTGAGATCACATGCATCTGAACACAAGAAGAGAGATTATAACACTCCTAAAACAAAACAGTGATTAAAGTGTGTGTATGTGTGTGTGTGTGAGAGACCTACATTTTTGTGGCCCTGTTGTAATCCTGATCTCTCCTCCATGATCCACACTATAAAATCAAAAGATGAACCCATAATAATGTGGATGGCTGTTCAGAAATGATTTTGTTAATGTTAATATTTTCTAATGATTTATTACAGTGGTTGAAAGCATGGAGACACATCAAACTCTGTAAATGTACTCTTGGTCATTGTCAGATGAATAAGCAGTGTGTTAAATGTTTGCAGTAGTACATACTGTGCAATTTGTTCTGTTTATACAGCATACCTGACCCTGATTCATTACTACCAACACTCAAAATGAACAAAAATATAAAGCTTTTAATTTTATTATCACTGTGTTTTTAATTAAGTTTAATATAAAACAAGGATGTTTTTCTAGCTGTAATATAATTTCAACCTAAAGTCAGTTCATCTTTACAACTTAAAAAAAAACAATCTGGACAAGTCCCATGGTAAATATAATGTAAGCAAATAATGACATATATTTAATTTTTGATGTTTAACTAAATCTCCAAAATCAGGCCACAGTCCCTTCTGATTAAGCTGCTCTGTCTGTCCTCCAGCATTACATGTAGTTTCTGATTCACAGTCTCTATCACTGGACAAGATCCTCAAGCCTTGACCTACAGACTCACCTCTACATTTACTAATCATTTGGGTCTAAATCATTTCATTTGTGCAGGTGTTAACTGATATTCATCTACTAACTGCATTAATCTCTTGCTGTTCAGCTGCACTGAGCTGATCTGCTTTATTCAGTTTCACAAGGTCAAAAATAATTTCTTCTCTTTTAGACTGTGATCTCTGTGTTTTCAGATTGTGGATCTGTTTTTGCTTCGTGTCTCCGGCATCATCAAGCATTTACTTTCTAGAGCAGCAACAAGCTTTGAATTGATGTTTTGGGATCAGAGACTTGAGTCTGTTTCTCAGATGCTGCTGTTATGAGTCACAATGAACTGAATCAAAATCAACTTCACTTACAGAGTTCAAGACACGCCCTTATCTTCCATGTGCAGTATTGATGAGTATATACAGTATGTGCTGTATGCAGGGACCTATTTACATATGAGTTTTCAATGACTTTATGACACATGACAGGTTGAGATTGTTAGTGTTGAACATACTTGAGTTTGTCCAGTCTGTAGTTTGGATCAGAGAGCAGCTTGACTAATGATTGTCCTGGATGATTGTAACTCAGATCCAGCTCTCTCAGGTGTGAGGGGTTTGAACTCAGAGCTGAAGCCAGAAAACAGCAGCCTTCCTCTGTCACCATACAGCCAGATAACCTACAAACACACACAGACACTCACATAATCTGGGACTTGAGGTCATCTTAACACACACAGGAGTGTTCAGATTCCTGTCATTATGCAAAAATATAAAATTATTCATTGTTTCAGTGTATCACTTTTTATCTACAGGTCACAGATTGCAGGTTCAGTTCAGCTTGAGCAACTCTGGTTTCAATGTTTTACTCAGTGTCACAGTGTTGATGGAGCAGAATTTTTTTCTCAAGAACAGTTTCTGTCATCCCCACTCCTCACAAATTTAATTTAAAGGGGTCATATGATGCTATTTTAAAGATCATTATTTTGTGTATTTGGTGTAACATACGGAAGTTCTAAGCGGCCATGCATTATTATTTTTTTTCCTTCTTGTTTTCTCGTTATAACGACTTATTTTCTCGTTATATCGACATAACGAGAGTTGTTTCCTCGTTATAACTACTTATTTTCTCGTTATATCGACATAACGAGAGTTGTTTCCTCGTTATAACTACTTATTTTCTCGTTATATCGACATAACGAGAGTTGTTTCCTCGTTATAACTACTTATTTTCTCGTTATATCGACATAACGAGAGTTGTTTCCTCGTTATAACTACTTATTTTCTCGTTATATCGACATAACGAGAGTTGTTTTCTCGTTATAACGACTTAATTTTCTCGTTATATCGACATAACGAGAGTTGTTTTCTCGTTATAACGACTTAATTTTCTCGTTATATCGACATAACGAGAGTTGTTTTCTCGTTATAACGACTTAATTTTCTCGTTATATCGACATAACGAGAGTTGTTTTCTCGCATTTGGGCGGCATTATGCTAATATTTCCACATAGTGAGGTAGATATGTGTGGGCGTGTTAGAACGAGCCGTTTTAGGTAGGTGTGGCTGACTCTTAACTTTTATAAAGAATATCTCTTTGGATTTGAGACTTTACTCTTTGCAACTTTACAGATCTTCTTTATGCACCAAGAGCTTGTAACACTCCAAAGAGAAAGGAAAACTTGAAATCGCATCATTTGACCCCTTTAATCATTGAGTAAATAATTTCACTAAATATCTAAAAAGTTCATAAAAAACTGTCTGGAGCAAATGCAAACTTAAAGTCTTCAGACACACTAGGGTCTGTGATATATTACCAAAAAAAAAAAAATCAGTAAAGCAGAGGGCATCTTTCATTTAATAACCATGTGAATCTTCATCTGATTGTATTACCTCAATATGTTGAGTTGACAGTGTGAACTCTTCAGTCCATCAGAGAGCAGCTTCACTCCTGAATCCTGCAGGTCATTGTTACTCAGGTCCAGCTCTCTCAGTGAGTTTGATGATTGTAGAGAGGAAGACAAACTTTCACAGCACTGATCAGTGAGATTACAGTCAGCAAGCCTATAACACAGGATGAAATATAATTTTTTTTGCAACATGTATTCAGTATAGCATCAGTGTCACAGTGAAGTAATAAGGAGGACGTAGGACAGAAAAATGCCAAAAAGAAGACAACACTATTATTACAGCTGGTATTTCACTAACAATAAAATGTGAACCATGCTAAAATTCCAACATAAATTCTAAAGGTCAGAAATGACATTTTTGGTACAAAAAACCTTGACTAAAATTGTGTAGATATGGCTAAACTGCTGTATTTGCAAAGATGTTTATAAATATGTACTATCTCTCTAAACCTAAACTGCATAAAGTACTGTATGATGAATAAGTTATAGTGAACCTCATGAGAGAAAATAAAATGATTTACTATTTACTAAACAACTAAACTGTACATGTTCATAACCTCCTTCTGAGTTTGACTGATTCCACATTGTTTGGAGTGAGTCATGAGATACTAAACACTTCTGACCTCTTCAAACAGCTTCTGATATACCTGTAAATTATTAGTGTCATGATTCGACGAAGGAATATTACTGTCTCAACAAAACAAACACATTCAGTTGTATCTCCAATCACATACATGAATACTCACAGTGCCTTGCTGCAGTTCACCACAGCTGGTATCAGTCTCCTTCTACCCTCATCTGATGTGTTGTATCTCTTCAGATCAAACTCATCCAGCACCTCCTCTGATATCTGAAGCATGTAGGCGATTGTTGAGCATTGAGACGGAGAGAGTTTCTCCACTGAGTGATTCTCTGATTTCACAAACTCCTGAATCTTTCTGTACAGAGTCTGATATTTTATTTCCAGCAGACAGAGGAACAGATTGATGCATCTGTCAGCTGAGAGACATTCATAATCACCCTTGATTCTGTCTTTAATGTACTGTGTGATTCTGTTGATTGTCTCTGAGCTGTTCACTGTGTGTGTCAGTAGATCCTGTAAGAGTCTCTGATTGGACTCCAGTGAGACGCCCAGAAGGAACCGCAAGAAAATATCTAGGTGTCCATTTTTACTCTTTAAGGATTTATTAATTGCTGATTTTAGTAGCTCATACGAGTTTTCCTGACTGTACCACTGATATTCGTCATTAAGAAATGACTTCACTGATTCCTCATTCTTGACTACATGGGAGTGAAACAAAAAGAAAGCTGCTAGAAACTCCTGAAAGCTCAGATGTATGAAGCAGTAGACTTTCTTCTGATGAATCACAGATTCCTCCTTAAAGATCTCAGTGCAAATCCCAGAATACACTGAGGCATCAGTGATGTCTATCCTGCTCTCAATCAGGTCCTTTTCATAGAACATCACATTGCCCTTCATCAGCTG